GTTGAAATGGGAAGCTGAAATGGGCAGCTGCTAGACAGTGGCCAGGTAGCCCAGATGGGCAGCTGCTGGACAGCAGCCGCATAGGGCTAAGGTAAAACTGTGAGTGTGAAAAATAAGGGGCTTGGGTGAATACTGCACAGAATCAGTCTGAGGTGCCCATGCAGGTGCAGAACAACGCACCTATGTGCAGAGAGCCTCAACTTGTCCTCCTCGCTATATAGCACAAAGATGTTGCCAATGGGGGCAGGGGAGGCCGGGAAGAGGTAAGTCATCATTTTCCCTTCTCCAGCTATTTGTGAATCCTGAACCGCAGTTCGACTGCCTCGACCCGATGATGATGACATCATCATAGAAGTTGTCCATCACCCCTGAAGAAGAGCACCCTGGCTCTATTTTCCTCCCCATAAAAACCCATGTGCCTGTTGATCAGGGAGCCATCTTGGTGTCGTAGGTCCTGGTGTGCTCCTTTGCTTGGCCAACCAAATAAAGTTTTCTTTCACTTTCACTGGACTCCTCTCTCAGTGTCATGTCCAACTACACCTGTAGGACTGGTCACAATGTAAACCCTAATTATTATTTGTGATGTGGCTATGTTGGGAGGAAGGGCGAGCACAAAGTGATACTGGCTGTGTATAAAAGAGAGAAATTCTCAAATACCACAAGAAGATGTTAATACAAAGTCAAGAAACAATTGGTATAAGCATATCATTTAGGACATGAAGAATGCCCTGCAGAGTTGAGGGTGGTAAACTTTAGGATCTTTACTGGAATGTGGGAGAGAAGTGGGCTGGGGAGAAGTGGGGCAGGGAACGGAAGGGCACTCATGAATCCTTCTGTCAATTATATATATTACTTTCATTAACTTCTCATAACAATAAATACCAATAAGAATGCAAACAAAAGCAATACACATGTACTACAAGAAAAAAATTACATAAAATAAACAAAAGGAATACAAAAGACATCCAGAATCTCACCCACTCAGAGATAATTGCTCTTAATATCTTCCCAGAAAAATTCTGAAAAACATGAAATGCTCTTAAATATTCATCAGACCTTACAAAAATTGCTGGTATACTAAAATTCTTGATCTGCAATACAAGAAAAAGTAACTGGTATTATTTACATTTGAGTAAATCAACCTTTCTGATCAATATGTTTATAGCCATTTAGGCTATATCTTCACTAATGGAGTGGAGAATTGACGTGGTTTTCCAAAAACACTTTTGCTTCAATTATCTTGTTATTTTAGAAAGAAGCAGCTTTTCGCTCTCTGTTTCCCAAACAATTGGCTCTATTTAGAAGATTAAGGATTTTAGGAAACAGAAATTATTAGAAAAATTTGCCTCACTTAAAAGAATTTTTCCATTTTTTCAACTTAAGTGTGGGTAAATAATTTCATTTTTTAAATGTTTCCTTAAACTGTTTAAATGAACTAAAAACGTAACTGAAACTTAGCCTTGACACTTCTTCACATTTAAAATGCAAGAAATTTCACATAGTACATACAGGATTTTAAGAGACTGACCTTGGAAAGGGACTATTTGTAAAAGAAAGTTTTGAATGATTAAGGATTTGAAGGTGAAGGATGAAATTAAAATTTTCGAAGAAATTATGTTGTATTAAAAATTTTACAGAAAGTATACATTTGATACAGATACCTAGTGAGGTCATAGAGTTTTGACTAATTTAAAAGTTTAAGAGTCTCAAATTCAGCTATGCTGAGTTCCTTTCATATCTCAGTCATTGTCCTAGATGTGTTCACTTACGTGCTCTGTATAATCTCTCAATAATCTTGTGAACTTGATGTTACATTTGTAGAGGCCTAATATGAAGAAGGAAATCTTGGTGGTGTAGTGCTTAAGAGCTATGGCTGCTAACCAAAAGTTTGGCAGTTCACATCCACCAGGCGCTCCTTGGAAACCATAGTGGCAGTTCTACTCTGTCCTATAGGGTCACCATGAATTGGAGTCCACTCAACAGCAATGGGTTTGTTTGTTTGTTTGTTTTAATATGAAGAATTGCCCTGGCGACATAGTGGTTAAGAGTCTGGGTGCTAACGAAAAGGTCAGTAGTTCCAATCTGCTAGCTGCTCCTTGAAAACCCTATGGGGCAGATCTACTCTGTCCTATAAGGTTGCTATGAACTGGAATTGACTCAACGGCAATGCGTTTGGGTTTTTGGTTTTTAATATGAAGAAAGTGGATTGATAAAGTGGCTGCAACAATGGGCTCAATCATTGCAACGATTGTGAGTATAGTGTAGGACCGGGAAAAGTTTCATTCTGTCATACATAAGGTGGCTCTGAGTCAGAGCTGACTTGAAAACAGCTAACAACACCAGTAATATGAAGAAATACTGTGGGACATAGAGTACAGGGGAGTTTTTGTGGGTTTACTTTGCCTTGGCTACTGCTGTAGTTGTTAGAGAACATGTATATCAAAGATAATGGAGTCGCATTTATCAGGAAAGAACAGAGCAATTATCAGCAACCACAGACTTGCAAAGGAGAGCGTCTGGAGGGGATAGTCTTGATATAGAGTCTTGAGTTGACATTGTGGAATCTGCATTTGCTGGGCTTAGGCCAGCCTGGCCGCAGTTGTGCCCAGGTAGCCATCCTGCTCTCAGAGAGTTATGAAATGGCTAGGTGAGTGCATAAGACAGCATGGGGCCAGGCTGGCCTAAGTTTTCAGGGACTATACACATTGTGAAGCAACTATGATGGGACAGGTTGTGGTGAAAGTGTACTGGTGCCCTGGTAAGTCCTGAGAGAGTTTTGAGAAGAAAAAGGGAACATGGATTTGGGGTCCAGCAGGATCCTCCTCCCTGCCTGACTGTGGGGCAGGTTTCTATTCCTGTAGAGTGGCATAGGTTTTGTCTTTTCTAAGTCAGTCTGAGATCCATTTGCCAAGACTGGGGTCTTCAGAACTAACTACAAATCATTATATTTTACAGATAAAGAAATTGAGCCTTAGTGAGGTTCAGTTAGCTAAAGCCATACAGCTCTAACAGACTTACAGATAGCTTTTCAAATCTTCTGATTTCTATTACTTGTCTCCCTTGAAAATACGTTAATACAGTGTGTGTGTGTGTGTGCATGCATGCATTTGATCAGATACTTTAGCTCTACTGATAGACATTTCTTACAAATAACTGTCCTATGTTATTAATATTGGTGTTTACAAATTATTTATACTCATCCTTTTCCAAAAATGATTTGTGATTGCTTTTTGCAAATTATAACAGTCCCTTCATTGTTTTGTTTTATTAAAAACAATTCCGTCTGGCTGATCCAGAACACTTGAAGTTTTTTTGAGGCTCTGTAGAACAGGTCAGAAGATCTACTATTTAGCGGCAAACTTTTTTTACGCGCTAGATAATATGGGATTTTCAGTCAGCACCAAAAATTCAAACCTACTTCCCAACCCCAACAGCCTAGAGGCTCCGGGTATGGTTGGAGTGCTTGCTGGTGCACCCTCTTGAGAGTATTCTTCACAGATTCCAGAGGAAGCTGCTCTGAGTGCCTCTCCCACACACGCCCCCTACCCCGTTTGCAAGGCAACTGCAACCTCAAGCAAGAATAGGGCGGGACTTGACTTTGGCCATGGCAGACGCGGCAGGAAAAATCAGCAATCGCCCTTTCATTTCTTTTCTGATGACCAAACCATGCATTTCATTTACTTAGGATTTGAGCATTTGGGACAGATTGTAAACTCATACTCCAAAAAGGTTTTTGGTTACCTAGCGATCCCAGGTACTGACCCCTGCGGGGGCTGACTCAGTTCTCTCCAATTGCGAGATTCGTTATTTGCTTTGCAAACCCCGGCAACCATTCGCTCTGCTTCTGGTGAGGTTTGCTGTTCCAGGATCCAACCGCTGCTCACCTCGTGTGTTTGCATTTTTTGAGTCTTTTCTGTGATCCAAGTTCCAGCACCTGAAGGTCGTTCCCTCTGCCAGCCTCGGGGTCCCGTCCACTTTGATCAGGGATCCCAGCTGCCGAGAGTCAGCTGATAGGACGGCTATAAAAAGGATGGTTTCCCACCAGTTCTATCTACTTCAATGCAAAACAAATGGTTAAGTATGGAAGGAGCAAACCTGGATTTGAAAACATGTCTTTAGAGCAGTAGTTTTTTCTCTGTAGGTTAAAGGAGTAGACAAATGGATCTGGAACAAATTAGCTGATGGATTTAGGACATGTCCACTTTCATCAGCTGGATAGGGAGTAGAAGGGCTCAGACTGCAGAGTGGGTAGGAGGGAGGCTCACACCTACCCTTCCAGCTTTAAGAAGTTCGTGCAGAGAGAGGGGGATGGAATGTGTTATTTTTAAATCCCATTTTCTGATCAAACTCATTTAGAAGTTGGTTGCTTGCCTCACACAGAATTGGAAAATTATCCTTATTAAATTTTATAAAAGGTTTAGACTATCAAGTCTTCTTTAGAAGTCAGTTTCAAGACGTACAGTCAAACGTGGGTCATCATTCATAGTCTCTGGGCCAGCCAAAAAAGCTTCCTGGAGAAATAGGTGAAGCCACTGCTAACATCTGTGAGCTAATTCCACTATGTATGCTCATGAGTAAATCAAGATCAGAGTCTAATCTGCTGGCCTTTGATTTCCTTTTCATGACAATTAACATCTGACTCCAGCACCTAACACGCCCACCAGTGGGCAAGTAAAAGGATTACTGGAGAAAAAATAACAGCTATCAGAGTTCACCCCCAGGATGGCATCTGCTGTGAGTAGCCAATCAGTTGAAAGGGAGTTTCCTTGGGCATGTGGCCTGCATTGAATATAAGCAGACATTCTGGCAAGGCTTGGGGTTTTTTGCTCTACTGGATACTGCAGCTGGCTCCTGTTCATGTGACCTCCGATTCTTGGAACTCGAACTAGAAGCTTACCTGTGGTCTTGCCTGCTGATCTTGGGATTTATTGATTTTCACAGCCTATGAGCAAGAGCTGATCTTGGGTTTGCCAGCCCCAGTGGCTACGTGAATCACGAGAAGCCTCTATTCTGACCCACAGGCTTGTGACATTCCAGCCTCTACAACCACGTGAGCCATTTCCTTGATATAAATCTCTCTGTCTCTGTATATATATTATACATCTTACTGGTTTTGCTTCTCTAGAGAACCCAGCCTAAGACACTGTGTTGCTTAGATACTGTGTACTTTAATCATGGACAGTCTGACCCAGTTGGAGCCTCTGTTTGACCCATCCCTGCCTCATCTGATCTTACCTTAGCTGATATTTTTTCAGTATTTGACTTCAGCTCTCCTCCACCTTCTGGTATCTCTCTGCCTTAAACCCTGATTTCTCTAATGTTGCCTCTGACCCTCTGACTTATGGTGTCTACCCAACTACTCCTGTGGGCCCAAATTTCGATGCTGGCCTATGCTGTGTTAGTAACAACTATATTCTGCCATGGCAAATCCTAGAAATAACCATAGAATTGGTCAAATTATACATTGGTTTTAATTTAATTTTTAAAGTTTTTCATAAATGGAGACATTCTCTTGGTCAGCTGAATTTTAAGTAGCCTTCTGCAAATAGGCTTTTTAAAAAATATTTGAAAAGTACGTTGGGAAGGCATGGAAAACTTCTCCCTCTTTTGTATACATTTATTTAGTGGAATGGGAGAAAAGAAGAGTGCTGCTCATTGGAGAAAATATTTTGAACAAATTTTGAAGCCCCTTTTGCGAAGTGTTATTTTCTAGAGGCATAAGTTCTTAAAACTCATTTTGCTCAATTAACATGCATTGCTCAAATACGTGTAAAAAGTATTGAGGCAATTATGAATTCAATCAAATTTCCTATAGTTTGTTACATACTATTTTAAGGACTGATACAGTTAAAGAAGATCAGAGGCCAAGTTGCTAGAAGGGAAGTCCTGGCTGCCTGGGGCACTCCCAGCCTCCTCTCTGAGCCAAACCCTTAAGACACTCATTGTTGTGAGGATTTGAGAGAGTTTTATAGCCTCTAGTCCCTAAACATTTTCTTTAGTGGTTGGTTTGTTTGTTTTTAATTACAAAAGTTAATTTATTTATTTTTTTTACAAATAACCAATACTAAAGAGAATGAAATGACAGTTCGCCCTTCTCCCCTTCCCCGACTTCCTTATCCCCTAGAAGATACCACAGTTCAGTTTTGGAGGCATAGTCCTACAGACCTTTTCTCTATAAATACCAAAATGTGCCCAGAGTTCTTTATGAAAAATTTATCCGTGGGTGGTGCAAATGGTTTGTGCTTGAGGACAAACCTAAAAGTTGGTGGTTCAAACCCACTGAGCAGCACCTCAGAACAAAGGCCTAAAGATCTGCTTCTGTAAATATTACAGCCAAGAAAACCCTGTTGGACAGTTTTACTCTATAGCACATGGGGTATCCATGAGTAGGAATTGACAGCACAGCAATGGATTTGGAATTCATGGAAAACCTCCCTTCTTTTTAGAGTGTGATGGGCATTTTTCCATATTACCTCATTTTTTTAATTGCCTGTATACCATCTGATAGTACAGCTGTTTCAATGTATTTGACAATTTTCCTGTCAGTGGACCCTTAAGTTGCGTTCAATAATACATCCTTTCACACTTGCGTGAATTTGTTTTGGGAATAAAAGATCAAATCATTAGTAGACGGCTTATTTTATAATTCAGGTAACATGTTATTGTTGTTAGTTGCCCTTGAGTTGATTCTAACTTGTGGCGACCCCACGTGTTCAGAGTAGAACTGCTCCATGGGGTTTTCAAGGCTGTGACCTTTCAGAAGCATGTCGCCAGGCCTGTCTTCTGAGGCATCTCTGGGTAGGTAACCTGTCATGGATTGAATTATGTCCCCCAAAAACTGTGTGTATTGATTTGGCTGGGCCATGATTCCTGGTATTGTGTGGTTTTCCTATATGTTATAAATCCTGCCTCTGTGATGTTAATGAGGGAGGATGGGCTGCAGTTGTGTTAGTGAGGCAGGACTCAATCTACAAGATTGGATTGTGTCCTGAGGCAGTGTCTTGAGACATAAAAGACAGAAGTGAGCAGTGAGACACGGGGACCTCATACCATCAAGAAAGCAGTGCCAGGAGCAGAGCACGTCCTTAGGA